AACAAACACTTTATCTTCAGCTTTCCAATAAGCCTCCTCCATCAGAACGGGATCCGCTTCCAGTAGTTTCATTGTATGGCAGTATCGCCAACGAGGGGCAGAGCGCTTCCATTGCAGCAATGGACGCAAAACGTGGTCATCACTCACACACTCATCACGAAATGGTTGCTTTCCAAAGTCGACGTCGAAGACAAGTTGTAAAGAATAATAATGTTTTTCTGGGAACAAATATTCGAAATAATGTTCAAAGTAATTTCAAGTAGAAATAATAAAAAAAAAAATTGAAAACCTAATTATCTCAAAATTTCCTAATTTGGTTTCTAAAATTTTTATTTAAAAAAAAATCTCATGAAAAATGTAAACTTCGGGAATGTTTCAATTTATGGACACTTAAAAATTGACAAAAATCGTTAAACATGAACTTCGGATCGATTTCGTTTTTTTTTTTTTATTAAAACGTTTTTTACATCTAATTATAATAATGCTTAAAGTATTTCTAATGATTTTGTGTGGAAACTTACACAAAAAGCGTACTCGCAAAAAGTTCTTTATTTTGACCAGAAGTTCCTGTTATACAATTTTTGTCAGTTTTCAAGTGTCCATGGTCTTGAACATTCCAAAAGTTTGCATTTTTCATAAGCTTTTTTATCTGAAAATTATTTTTCAAAAATCGGGCATGGACATTTTGAGATTTAGGAGTTTAAATTTTTTTTCCTTTAAATTTAGTTTGTGTCAGACGTCATTTCGATCAGAAGTGTTGTTTCCTTGCTAAAACATTTTGAAAAATGCCATTTTGATTTTTTTTACAGTTTTAGCAAAAATGTGAATCAATGGCCATAACAAACAATTAAGCAAAGGTCAAAACAAATCGGAGATCCATGTTTTTTATCGCTTGTTTGTGTGGAACTGCTCTATTGAAGATTTTATAAATTATTTTGATTTTTTCTTTAAAAGTTTTTTTGCCGTCTGTCTGTCTTTTAAAAGACCGTCTTTGTTTCAGACGTTATTTCGATTTGACGGTACGTTTTCGTGCTATGATTAATTGAAAAATATCGCAGCCGCTATTTTGAAAAATGTGGCGTGTGTCAAAGTGGCTGAATTTCAGCACAATATTGTTGTTCTGAAGCAAACCCCACACGCATCAATATATTGACGCGAAGGGGAATTATTGACAATAATATTGATGGTGTGAATTCAGAAATATTGTCAATCTCGATATATTGACGTCAATATAGCATGTATTGACAATACGATTATTGTCAATAAAAGCAATCGTGTAGGGTTCACTTGAGGCATAACATCTCTGTCCGTTGGTCCTCGGTTCATGAGTTTGATGGGTCGATAGGTAGGGTCCAGGTGTGAGAGTTGTCTACATGGCGTCGGTAGCATTGGTGCTCAGCACGGAAAACAAGATCGACGGAAACAAATCAAGGAAAAAAATCAAGAGTAGACCGTTTTGTTACAATGATAATTATATTTTACGTCTTACTTCTAAAAAATACAATTTACAAAAAGACTAGACTAAACAGTATGTGTTGTACATTGCATTACTTTTGCGTGTTCGTTATTCGTTATTAACTAGAAATCAAATATTGCTTCAATTTGGTTTTTGTTATTGTAAATTCAATGGTTTCGCATTCCTTATTATCAGTTGCCATCATCTGATTTAAAGGTCCAAATTTGGCATAATTTGTATGATGGTGGCTTGTACTAAAAATATGTCGATGTCGTAGTTGCCGGGAGGGTATGCATAGCGAATAATTATACAAAATTTCATGGAATTGGGAGAGGGTAAAATCTGATCGATTCGTCGGTTGGCGTGGAAATGCTCACTTGGGTAGTATTTTGGTCTGATCTTGCATCGTTTGTTGAAGATGTTTTATGGCATCAGATCTCAACCATTCGTTGTTTGCAATCCACATTGAGAAATTTTATAAGCTCTTGACTAACCAATAGATTTGAAACCAATATTATAAGATTGTAATGATTTTAAAAACACCAAGATGGTCTAAAAAGGCCAAAATGGCTCTATAATACGAAAGTGGTTGAGATATTCAAGGGACATGGCTGGTATTCGATAAAATAGAACCACGATAATTTTAGTCGATTTTGTTGGTGCGAAACTCTGAAAGCCGATAATTTATCAGGCCAGTATGTAAAGTTTAGAAGTCCATGACACCTTCCTCGCCCACAGGGCATGGAATCAAGAAGCAGTGATGTATGTTTAATGAAATGCACACAACTTGTGAGTCTTTTTTAAATCAAACAGTAGGTACACATTAGGGTGGTTAAAAATATCGATTTTTCTCAATCCAGCTCAATTGGTTCTAAATCAGGTCATGATAATTCTCCCAAAATTTGAGCTCATTTGGTTGCGATCTCATAATGTGCTTTCCCTTTGAAGTTTATACGGAAATTACTATAGGAAAATTGAACTTTTTGTTCTCAACGCCCTAGCCATTTTCCATTATGATTTACAGGTAAGCTTACTATCTGTTCTTATATGACATTTAATTACCTTCAACATATGTTAAGGAAAATTAATTAGAATTATTCTTTAATAGAAACATTTAATCTTTTTAAACAAATCCGTTAAAAACGAGAGGTAATGTCAAGAACGACATGTGAACAGGGCATACAAGCTTTTTGTAAACAAAAAGAGAATGGGAAGGGAAGGGGATTCCCCTTCCCATTGCTGTTGATGGTTTGCGTGGGTGATGATGAGGGTGGTGAGAAAACGGCATTGAAAGTACAGTAGGACGGAAATCAGATCAAAACCCTACTATATGAATTTGTTCGAAGTAATAACAGTTTTAAAAATTTATAAATTTGGGCAGCATTTTAAGTTTAACAAATTCACATTATTGATACATTAATTTCGCGAAATTGAGGAAAAATTAAAACCCCTCCCAAATTTGGTCAAATTTACCCTATTTGCTTTTCACAGAATTCTTAAAGGAATCTCGCATTATTCAAACAATAAACACCCCATACAATTATAGAAACTAAATGAATATGTCTGAAAAATACACACTAAGAAATACTTAATCTTACACGTGACGGAATCCATCTTTGACAAAAAGGATGAGACGTAAACAAACATGTCATGTAAAATTAAATGCTCCGAGACTGAGAAGTTCGACAGTACGTTTGTTTGAGCTGAATTTCGCGTCTATTAGGGTAAGATGGTGCAAAACGCACCGTTTAAGCAAAATCGTCAATTGCTGGCGAATGGAAGCTAAAATCAAGAAGAAAGTAATGGCTTTTGGTTCATTACCATGTTTTCTACGAAGATCGAGTGATTTAGAACTACAAAAGGATGATTTTCCATGACTTTCAAGGTATTTTATAAATTGCTTCCAAAATGATAGCGGGGCAAAACGCCTGATTCATGATGCAATATGCACCACAACATTGGGGCAAGACGCACGACAACAATGGTCAAAACGCAACACAACATTGGGGTAAAATGCACCCCATGGTAGACAAACCATAACCCCTGCAAGTAGATAATGCAAAGGGATGCGGTATTTCAAATGATTATTTCATTATGTTACATCAGAAATAAGGTCTCAAAATCTCAATAGACTGTTAAACTGTGATTCATCAAGTAAAATATCTAAAAAAATATACGAAAAGTAAATTCGTTAAATTTTTTTGTGATATATGATGTTAAAAGCTTAATTTTCAGTCGATGATTTTAACAACTGTGTCCTGTTTTGCACAAAATGCTTTTTTTTTAAAGGTATCAATAGGTCAATATATGATTTTATGATCAAGAATTATTTGTGAAACCTCCAGTTGAAAACAATCACAAACCGTTACCCGAAAAACGCATCTAAGGAAAAGTTATCGGTGTTTTTCAATAAGTGGGCATTTTACCCCAGGGGTGCATTATGGGCTGTTCTCCCTTATGTCTCAATTTTATGCCAAAATCGACGCTCGTATATGTCAGTCTCAGAGCACCTAAATGGGAGAACAGTACATAACGCACCCCCGGGGTAAGACGCACTTTTTCATTTTATTTTGAGTTTTTCTTGGAATTTTAAATCCAATTCTAGGATTTATCATGCAGGATTTTGAGTTCAGATACTATGCTAGAAGTGCTGCTTGATAAGACAACAAAAAAGTTACTTAAAAGCCATGAAAAACACAAATGAAAGTCAGCTGGTGCGTTCTGCCCAGGGGGTGCGTTCTATACCATTCTCCCCTACATCAATTTTTCTAAGTGTGTAGTGCAAAATCAACCCATGTTTATCACATATCATCAGCAAGGTAAGCATTATTCATTAACTTTTAAAAGTGTCCAACATCATGGAATAAGTGTCTGGATTTCAGTGCTTTATGGTAAATCAGCATTGATCATAATTTCCGAGGATCTGTTTTGTAAATCAAACACTTTCTTAATATTCCACGACATTCCATTTGTCACAAATATTTGACAAAGTTGTGGTAGACCTTTAGACGAAATGAGCGATGTGGATTCGAAATCTGAATTGGTGCGACGATCTCACCACCTTACGGGTGATTTCTTCTCAAATCGGAAATCTTGATCATTACCCAAACAAGAGTGCAATCTTCTCCGTCTTAACGATTAACCATCAGAAAGGGTGAACAAACCTTGCGCATGATTCATTCTCTCGCTCGGTTGAGAATATTCCCAGAGTGCCACATTGCGCCTTTCTCAACTTTGCAATCTTCGCCAACTTATGCACAATCGCGATTAAAATGAGCACTGCTTCAGCAACCTCCAGCCATAAGAAGATGGTGAAAACAAAGTAAAAAGACAAACGCCGAGTGACACGAAGAGTGCCAGAGCACAGAGAAGAGACAGAACTTCCATCGAAAATTGTAAAACATCATTTGCACATAAACGATTACGCGCATTTATTAAACACGGCAACCGACGACACGACAATTTTCTGCTGAAACGCGACGAATGACGGCAACCGCATGGACAGACCTCGCTTTTCTGGTGCACACACCTCGTACAAGAGGTGATGGTTGGAAAGCTTTCGGGTGGTGGGTCGGATCGACCGGCACCGCAGCAACAACGACGGCAGCAGCAGATGTGTACACTGTGTTTGTGAGTATGGGTTTGCAGTTACCGACAACCTTGAGAAGTGGATTTTATAATTATGAGAGACGGGTGGACGGATGGACGGACGGACGGACGGGGCCGGGTGAATTATATAATCATCTCTCGTTTTCTCGTACGTGCACATCAATCCAAACGGTATGCAACCAAAGTCGGAATCGCGCACACGAAGTAGACTGGATAAGTAAGTGCCAAATCGAGTCAGAGTCAAAAAGTCCAGGCTGAACTCTCAACCGGCAAAGATCAAGACATCCATCGCGTGAATGCGTAACCAAACGAAGCAGAGTTCCATGCACTTCCTCCCAGACTCGAGCGATCATTGTACAGTAAGTTAAGGTGATGAGAGAGCGTCTTGTGATAGTGGGACATGCTTCTGTCAGTTTTATCAGGCTATGAATAGAGTTCAATATTAATGTATTCAAAACCGCTTCATTCTTAAGAAACTTCGGAGATTGTCCGTTATGCAATTTAAGTCTATTTTGAAAAACAAAATCCCACCGTGCAAACTGCGTTGGCAGAAATTAGGGCTTGCCGATTCTCGCATGACATCCCCAGGCTCAGCCAACCACCAACGCGTGGGTTACCTAAATACCTAGGTACATTCTCCAGCTGTGACGATTATGCGACCCCAACTCCGAGAGAATCTGAATGAGGCTCAATCAACAACCCCAGCTCCCCAGGTGTTGCAGCAACGACGACAACCGATCATTCGCCACGTCCCACTCTTTCGCCTAGTTTGGAGCAATCTTCAGCGCTCCTTCTCTGGACCAAACCCATATCTTTGTGGTTGCGGTTCGGTTTGGGTCGAGATGCTAGCACTTTCTTCCATCGCGATCGTCCATGTTGGTTCAACAGAGGAGACGCTTAGGGTTGTCCTTTGACTTTACGAGGAAGCGTTTAAATCCAATTTATCTTGGATGGATTGGTCGTGGTCGTCGGGTGGCAGTGAATGCTGTTTATTGCTTTGCACGAGAAAAGTGACGGGGAATCCTGCCCAGCGTGTGACCTGACCTCTCTGTCTCTGTCTGTTTCGATCTATGTGTGTCATACGATATCACGTAATCTTTCGCCTTTTGATTTATCTTCATCTTGCTTGTTTTATGGTGCTCTCTTTCGGCGAAATCAGTCGATCCACACGTGCGAGATAATTTTTGTTTTTGCTGCTAGGCAATTGTGTGGATTGTTTTTCCTACTATAAAAATGGCTTATTTTTTTAGGCACAATTTAGAAGTGATTAAAAAAGGCTTTTATAAAGTTAAACAGGGAGCATCAGTAGCATGTTTAGAAATGCAGCAATGCGACTGCAGACTGCTGATTTCAGACTATCATATATTAAAAAAAAACGGGATCTTTAATTCCCATCTAATTTTTGTCACTAATAGTCTTTCCGTTTCCCATCTTTGTTAGGCTACTTTTATTCAGTGACCTGATAGGTAATAACATTTATTCATCAAAATGTGCTCTTTCTTTATAACTTCCGATGATCAACCCACGAAGCAGTAAATAGTTTTTATAGCTTAATTTTAATTGGGCCCATACATTAATTATGTCACGCTAAATCGAGCAAAAAATTACCCCCTCCCCCCTATCGTGACGTATTTCCTATACCTAATGCATTGCTTGTCACAAAATCTAAAACCCCCCTCCCCTCTTAGAGCGTGACATAATATATGCATCAACCCTTACTAAACTCGAAGGGGGGCAAGATACACTTCCTTCGTTTTAAACCTAATATACATTTTTACAACAAAGTAGTTACCCTACAAGTTAATGCTATGTTTGATTTGGACACCGTATCAATTTGGCAGCTCTGTGTTATCAGATAATGTAAATAAAAACAAAAACCAGTTTGCATTGGATATAGTGTAATTTTGTTCTCCGCATTGTTAAGATCGTTTTGCGATTTAAACATTATTAAGCGTCGGTGAAAGATATTACCCATTTGCTTGAGATTAGAGCTACATCTCTCTGAAAAATACTTATAAGTTTTAATATGTATTTCTACTTTTATAATCAAAAACTTTTTTTTTTAAACATTCACTTCTAAGCTCGTGTGTTTGTGTGTTTTTAAAGTTTTCATGTATGTTGCGAATATAAACGATTGAAAATGTTGGAGGCGAACCAGCCTCAGGCTGAAAGCCTCCTTAATAAAGATAAATCAATCAATCAATGATTGAAAATGCTTAAGAGGATTTAGGCAATACATGATATTCACTGTTGCTTTTAATTTTAACGAGAAAACAGCTTGATTTCGTTAACTGGTGCATTTTACCCCAGGAACCCCTAAACGACCAAAACTACAAGCTATCATCAAGACAAGCAAAAGAAACTATTGAAGCATACAACAGCAACAGTGCAACGATGGAAACTATGGTAACGTAAATTTGACGGATAGTGAATCGGATGAGTTTATCACAGAAACTAACAGGCGAATGCTGTCAACAAAGCAAAAGAAGTTAGGAAGAAAGTTTGAATAAAATGTATTGTATCTTCTTTCCTTTATTTAACGTCGGTCTCTGTTCCGCAATCTAGTGCCAATCACCGACGGACATCGATTACCATCCATTGACGACAATCGAATGTGCAGGAAGGCAGCTTCCACACCTGCATAGGATATCGCACCCATTCACAACACACATGGGCCGGGACCAACGGCTTTACTTCCCTCCCGAAGGAAGACGTGACCAGAGATTTTTATGCCTCAGAAAAATCCCACCGACCTCGGCTGGGATTGAACCCAGACCCATTGGGGTGTTAGAAAGCAGTCACGCTTACCACTACACCACCGGCGCCGGCCGAATGTATTGTATAATTATTCATATTTTAGAGACAACCCAGCCCAAGGCTAAAATTCTCTCTAATAAAGTAAAAACAAAGGATTCAAGAATTAAACTTAGAAAAATAACGAGATATTTCAAAAAGTTCCACAAATTAAAGATATTCTAGAGAACATCAGGGCAGTTCAGAGGAGTAAAGAAAAATTTCGGAGATGTCCCGAAATGTTTTGAGATTTTTTGGTACTTTCATTATTTTCAGGAGAACTTAAGAGCAGTAACATTAATCAATTGCAGGGAGTTTCAAGAAGTACCGTGAAATTATGCGAAATCCATAGAATGCACAGTGGTCCAGAATGCAGATTTAGATGGAATGATATGTTTTGAGCCTGAAATTGAAACTTGAGACTAAAAGTCTTTTCTACAAATTTGTTCCTTATAGTTATGCCCTCATTTTAATGACAATGAATTCTAGGGTGGTTCCTATTATCATTAAAATTAAAAATCTAACTTATTTGTTTGAATAAATTAAGGTATATATTCTTCAGCAAAGTTATAGCTGAGCTAATTTCAAGCAACTTAGTACGAAACAACTTTTTTGTATCTCTTAAATTGGTCGATTTAGAGCTATTTTCTTGAATTGAGTTAGGGTGGCTCAAAAAAAAAACAGTTGTTTTGCTCTAGTTTTCTTATTTCGAATTTCTCAGCAAAGGTGTCTTCAAATAACTTTTAGATCTTAAGAAGGCGCAAATTTTTGCCTCACAAAGCTTGTCAATATCTTTCGCCGATCAAGAGTTATTGATGTTTTTATACTAAAAATATGCACGTTTCAAATGTTTATATCTCTGGTTGGGGCAAAAAAAAAAAAAGTTTTTCTACGGCATTTGAAAAGGAGTATGTTATTCTCAATAATATGAAAAAATGGAGGCAGGTAATTTTTTTAACTCGTATAAAATCAATTTGAATTTATTCATATATTTTACTATAATCGGGTACATCTTTTTTTATTAAAAGAGATACAGACAACAAATTTCGCTATAAAACCATTCGTCTTAAAGAGTTTTAAAAGTCTCTAGAAGATGACTTTCATGAGAAATTTCAAATAAAAAAGTTATTGGCAAAAGATGGATTTCATAGGACCACTCTAATGACAAATTTAAATAAAATGTGCTAGTACATTTGTTTCAATAGTTGGACATTTAGTGTCTTAGAAGAAGTTTATGTTCTTAAAAATTCCTTTCTGTTAGTGTTTGCAAACGTCAGGGTGTTCCTCAAATTAGGGAATTTTTAAAACTAACTTTTTTGTTTTACAAAATAAAAACATGTGATCTTTGAAAAAGTTGTAGCTTAGTTTATTGCAAGCAACTTTGCCTAAGAAATTTTTTTCTATCTCTTAACGTTCTCATTTTAGAGTAATTTTTCGGAGATGACCTAGGGTGATCCTGGAAAAAATAGTTTTTTAGCAATAACTTTTTTATTTGAAATTTCTCATGAAAGTCATATTCTAGAGACTTTTAAAACTCTTTAAGACAAATGTTTTATTGCGAAATTTGTTGCCTGTATCTCTTCTAATAAAAAAGATATACCCGAATACAGTAAAAAATATGAATAAATTCAAATTGATTTTATACAAGTTTAGAAAATAACATACCTCCAATTTTTTTCATATTATTGAGAATAACATACGCCCTTTCAAATGCCGTAGAAAAACTTTTCCCCAACCAGAGATATTAATATTTTAAAAGTGCATATTTTTAGAATAAAAACGTAAATAACTCTTGATCGGTGAAAGATATTGACAAGCTTTGTGAGGCAAAAATTTGCGCCTTTTTAAGATCTAAAAGTTATTTGAAGACACCTTTGCTGAGAAATTCGAAATAAGAAAACTAGAGCAAAACAACTGTTTTTTTTTTGAGCCACCCTAACTCAATTCAAGAAAATAGCTCTAAATCAGCCAATTTAAGAGATACAAAAAAGTTGTTTTCTACTAAGTTGCTTGAAATTAGCTCAGCTATAACTTTGCGGAAAAATGTATATCTTAATTTATTCAAACAAATAAGTTAGATTTTTGATTTTAATGATAATAGGATCCACCCTAGAATTCATTGTCATTAAAATGAGGGCATAACTATAAGGAACAACTTCGTAGAAGAGACTTTTAGTCTAAAGTTTCAATTTCAGGCTCAAAACAAATCATTCCACCTAAATCTGCAT